TATTGATCCATGTAGCTGTCCTTTTGCTCCTACAACACAGTCAGGAGGGTAACTGAATTTGAGCTGGACCAAACTAACTGGATTAAGGAATGCACAGCGCTCTGTGATGCTCCATCAGGCTTCAGAGTTTTTCAGGTGCATTCAGGTACATGATCCCTCATGGCGGCAACTCTGAAAGTCAATAGAGCTCAGCCAGCTGAGGAAGGCACCCCTCAGTCCACCCACTCAGAAACGCTGGTGGTCCCAGCACCAACCTGTGGACTTTTTGACTTTCAACCCAGGGCTCTCATTATCACTATCCCATTTTATGGCCTCTTAATTGAGTCCAGAAATTTAAGAGAAAGAAAACATATAGAAAAAAATTAGGGCAAGCACACTGTAGGGTTGAAAATTTATGCTCACACAAGGACTTGCGCAGAGGTGCAGCTTTATTCTTATTTGCCAAAACATGAAAACCGCCAACTTTGTCCTACGGTAGGTGAGTGAATAAACTGCATTCACTCAGAAAGTGGACTATTACTCAACACTAAAAAGAAATGACTTCTGAAGCCATGAAAAGCATGAAGGTGGGGCCGGCACTGTGGCACAGCAGGTTAAGCCTCCACCTGTGATGCGAGAATCCCATATGGGTGCCAGTTCGAGTCCCAGTTGTTCCACTTCTGATCCAGCTCCCTGCTAATGTGCCTGGGAGAGTGACAGAGGATGGCTCAAGTGCTTGGGCCCCTGCACCCACCTGGGAGACCAGAAGAAGTTCCAGGATCCTGGCTTAAACTTGGCCCAGCCCCAGCCAGCCACTGGGGCCATTTGGGGAATGACCAGTGCATGGAATCTCAACCTCTCTCTCCCTCTCTCTATAACTCTTTTAAATAAATAAATAAATCTTTTATTTTTAATTTTTTGACAGGCAGAGTGGACAGTGAGAGAGAGAGATAGAGAGAAAGGTCTTCCTTTGCCGTTGGTTCACCCTCCAATGGCCGCCGTGGCCGGCGCGCTGCAACCAGCGCACCGCGCCGATCCGATGGCAGGAGCCAGGTACTTCTCCTGGTCTCCCATGGGGTGCAGGGCCCAAGTACTTGGGCCATCCTCCACTGCACTCCCGGGCCACAGCAGAGAGCTGGCCTGGAAGAGGGGCAACCGGGACAGAATCCGGCGCTCCGACCGGGACTAGAACCCGGTGTGCCGGAGCCACAAGGCGGAGGATTAGCCTAGTGAGCCGCGGAGCCGCTTTTTTTTTTTTTTTTTTTTTTTTTAAAGAAAAAAGACATGAAGGCAATGCAAATGCCAGTGAAAGAAGCCAATGTGAAAAGTCACCACATGACTCCAACTGTATGACATTCTAACGAGGCCAAACGTACAGAAGCCATAAAATGATCAATGCTTCCCCAGTGGCTAGGGGGGTGAAAGAGATGAGTGGGTAGAGCTTAAAGGACTTTTAGAGCAGAGAAAAGAGGCCATATATGCTTCTATAAAGATGGGTGCATGTCATTATGTTTTCCAAACCCACAGAATGGACAACACCAGAAGTGAACTCTAATGTAAACTATGGACTTGGAGTGATAACCATGTGTCAGTGTAGGTTTAACAATCATAACAAATGTACCATAGCTGGTTGGGGGATGTTGATATTGGGGGGGGGAAGGCTATGAATGTGTAGAGGTAGGCAGTATATGGGAAATCTCTGTACCTTCTAATCCATTTTTCTATGAACCTACTCTACAAATAGACTATTTTTTTCAGTGAGAGAAGGTTGTAAATGGACCGGTTATAAGTGAATGGCTCCTAATCAGCTTACAATAAACTTCTCCTCTTGTACGAACAAGAAATGGGATGTTCAGGTCATTCAGGGCTTTGCTCTCAACACTAAAACCAAATGTACTAAGTTCTCTCTGGTTTTGTTGTTGTTGTCATTGTCTAAAGCTCTTCAGTATTTTTAGGGTTGTGTTTCTCCAAGAGTGCTCCAAGGAAAGCCTCAGTTGTCAGCACCCCCTGATAGGGACGCTCATTCTAAAAACAGTTTTCAGGGTGCCAATCCACCTTCAGCCTACTGGAAATCACCAGGTGATCTTTATGCACAGTAAGGCTTGGGAACCCCTATTTCAGAGTAGTGGAGGTCAAGTTGTAAGTATCAGGTATCATTGCATTCAGGAGACGCAGGCATTCTGCTTATATGAGAGTTCTAGATAACACAGTAGATTCATGCACTCATCTGCTTCAAGCCTTTGCTGAGACGCCCTCCTGCTAATCAGAAACTTCCTGACGTAAAATGCACGTTAGCCTCTGTACCGCCCATCCTTCGCCATAGCACTTACAGCTAACGGAACACTCTGTGGATTCATTTTTCTGGCTCCCGTTCCTAGAAATCAAGCTTCACAAAAGTAGATGCTGGGAGTCCAGCACCTAGGACTGTTTCTAGTATGTAGAAGGTGTTCAATCAGTATTGGTGCCACACTGCATCCCAGTGCTTGAGCGTAATGGCATTTGTCCACTGTCGTTCTTGGGAGAATTTAAGGGAAAAAAAAAAAACTATAAAGCAAATTACTCTTTTATTCTCTGAGTGATGCAGGGTGTGTATAGTAATAGAGAGAAGACGCTGGAACCATGCCCTCTAATCTCCTAATTCTGGAGTCTGGGCTAGATTCTCTAAAAATCGTTTTTTTCTTAATGCCACCGAGATCCTCAATTTTCTATGAGGATCATGCATTTATAGCTGCAGTGTCCTGGGAGGGCTACCCTGAGGAGGACTTGTTGCCCCTACGCAGCTGAGGCTGCAAGGCTGAGATGAACCCGCAGTGGGAGGGAACTTCGCTAAGCCCACCCCATATTACTGAACTCCCAACCAGGACAGTAGATGCTTCCTTCTCCTAAGTTGCTGGATGGGAATGCTAATAAATGGATCCTATTGCAAGTGACTTTTTACACTCTTGGTTGGTCTAAACAAATGATCCTTGCCGGTTCTTATCCTCTAAGCTACCTACCTGCCCAATAGCACCAGCACATAAAGAAATGCTTACAGATGTTTGGGACCCCCCCCCATTCCCGGCACCCCACCACTGACCCCTTCTTACACACAAGGATCCCAAAGTCAGTTCCCTAACACCGGGGGCTGCCCGTGTCTCTCCCAGGACACACCTTACGTTCCAGCCTGTGTCGAGATGGTGAGAAGTGCTCAGCAGGCTATCCGGGATCCCTAGGGAATCCCAGGGGGGTGCTAAGAAACTGTTTGGCCAGAGTAGGAGAACACACAAACAGGAAAGAGCAAGTTTGTTCCTAGTGTTATGCGCCAGGGGTGGCAGGATCTACCTGCTGAGCCAGCCCAGGAGGTCCCCAGGGAAACCCTTAAGGTAAGTCTCTCCTGTTCTTCCGAGAGTGGTGGTGGTGGGGTTGGGGGAAGGAAAGTGTGCCGAAAGGTGGAGGATGGGCACCCTCCCCCCGGGGGTCAGGGTTCTGCGCCCAGAGCTGCTGCACGCACCAGGTGGACCTGAAGGTGGGTAGTAGTAGCAGAAGGCTTGTCTCACTGGTCCCACTGGGTGGATGGAAGGTAGGCAGGTGAGGTGGGAGGGAGGGGCTTGTGCGGCTTTCAGACCCCCAGCAGATGGGTGGAGGAGGGAGGTTGTTAGCTGCCTGCACTGCCTGCTTTGATGTTTTCTTAACGTGTCAGCCAGGGAGCTCAGGAGTCCGTAGCCCGGCTCCGGAGAGGGAGGGGTTCCGAGAGGGGCCTCTGACTCCCAAGGAGACCTTGATCCGACTTTCTCACGGCGATTCCCAGGCTAGCAGGAGGGAGTTTCTAGGGTGGGTGAGGTGGCTCCCAGGAGCCTGGGGCGAAACTACTGGGGATCCCAGAGACCCAGCAGACTGGGGTGGGGAGGAAGGCATTTTGTTTGAGTGACACGGACCAAGGGAAGAAACTCCAGAGGCAGCTGGGCAGGTAGCTGAGGTTCTTTCCGCTTGAACGGGATGGAGCTGCAGTTTGCAAAAGAGGGGTCATTCGCGGGGGACGGCGCACACTGCGCCACCAGGGTCCCAACCTGGCGACGCGAGGCTCGAAGAGGCGCTGACTTGGCCCCCAGCCTCGGTGGGGAGAGGGCGGGGAGCGTCCGGAGCGAGTTCCCCCAATTCAGACAGGGAGGAGGCTGCACCGGGCCGAGAGGAGTGAGCCGGCGAGGGGAGAGGCTGGGGGACTCCTCACGTCTGGGGCGGAGGTGTCGCCAGAGCCGGAACCCAGGCTTGGGACCGGGTGTGTGTGTGTGTGGGGGGGGGGTTCTCAACAGACCACAGGGTCCGCAGCTGAAGGGACTTGGGGGAGTCCTGGGGTGGTGGTGGGGTGTTCTCCCTCTGGCCAACAAGGGCTGAGGAAGGGCTGGGAAGACCGATGCGGTTTCTACTGGGGAGCTGCTGGAGGCGCCCCACTCAGTAGCACTGAGGGGGGTCTCTAAATGGGATAAGGGGCACAGGAAGTGGGTTGAGGACCTCTGCAGTAGAGGGACTTTAAATTGGGTCCGGAAGAAACCGGGGACTCCGAGGGCGGGTTTCTCTCTCCGACTGGGGACACGGAGGGACTCTGGCCCCTTGGAGAGGGTGGGGATTTAGGGGTGCTGGGGCCACCTCCCTCCCGACCCCAGGAGATCGGGGACCTCCTAAATTCTGGATAGCGGGGACCCGAGAGGGAGGACTAGGGCTCTCCCCGATCCGGAACCGAGCTACCTTGGAGGCACCGGCAAGCGCTTCATTCCGGGAGGGCGTTCCCGCGGCCCGGCCCCCGCGCCGGCGTGGGTGGGGGTGCGGCCGCGCCCTGGCCCCGGCCCGCACCCGGATTCGGGGTCTCGGTCGCCCCCGGGGAGCCTGGAGCCCGGCGGGAGGGGGTCCCGGCGCCGCCGCCTCCGCGGGCGCCCGGGCGCGCGGGCGAGCGCGGGGCTTTATGCGCGCAGGGCGGCGGGGGGAGGAGCCGGCAGGTCGGCCCCCGGCGGGCCCTCCCCTCGGCCGTCCCCGCCCGCCCGCCCGAGCGGGGTCGGGGGAGGGGGCAGCATGGCCTGTCCGTCCGGCCCCCTTCGCCGCGCTCCTCATCTGCCCCGCGCCGAGCGCCGCCGCCGCCGCCGCCGCCGCTCCGCTGCCCGCGCCGCCCGCGGCTCCCGATGGAGACTGACGCGCCCCAGCCCGGCCTCGCCTCCCCGGACTCGCCGCACGACCCCTGGTACGGCCCGGCCCGGCCCGGCTCGGCCTGCCCGGCCCGCGCCCGCCCCGGCCCCGCCAACATGGCCGATCCGGGTCGGGCCGGGCCTCCCCCGGGCCCGGGCCCGCGCCCCCTGCGCCCTGGCGCCGGGCGCTCACGCGGGCCCTTTGTGTCTCTCCTCCTCCCGCAGCAAGATGTTCATCGGGGGACTCAGTTGGCAGACTACGCAGGGTGAGCCAGCCCGGGGGCGCCCACCGGCCCGGCAGGGCCCCCCAGATCCTCTCGGCGCCCTGGACCCGGACCCCCCAACCCGGCCCTGCGCCCTGCTGACCCCGAGCGCCCTCGCGCCCTCTTTCGCGCCCCGCCCGGGGACCCCGCGAGCGCAGGGCGAACGGCGAGCGCGCACGGCCCAGAGGACGGAGGGCAACACATGAGGGGTTCAGGGGGGCATCGAGGGGTGGGCTGGGCCCCCGGGACCCGCCGGCGGCAGCGCCAACTCCGCTCGCACCTGCGGCTCAAACTTTTGTGAGGCGGCTCCCGGAGCGGCGGGAACCCGGCCGGAGCCGTCCCCCAGCCCCCACCTCCTCCAGCCCAGGTCGGCCCCCGGCTTCCCGGGGCCCCGGGGTGGGCTCCCGGAGGCTCGGTGGGGGCCGGGCAGGGGCGGGGGGGGGTGCGCGGCGGGGAGCGCGCGGGCAGCCGGGCGCGGGGGCGGCCGGGCCGCGCGGGGTCACTGGGGGCAAAGGACGAGGGAGAGGGGGGAGGCCCGGGGCCTGGGGCCGGTCCGAAGGCGGGGTGTGTGGTTGCAGAAGGGCTGCGTGAATACTTCGGCCAGTTCGGGGAGGTGAAGGAGTGTCTGGTGATGCGGGACCCCCTGACCAAGAGATCCAGGTGAGCCCCTCGCCCGCTGCGCCTGCTCCCGGCTCGCCCCTCCGCCGCTGCCACTCGCTGCCGGGTAACCATCTGCCTCTCCCTCACCGCGCCGCGCAGGGGTTTCGGCTTCGTCACTTTCGCGGACCAGGCGGGGGTGGATAAAGTGCTGGCGCAGTCGCGGCACGAGCTCGACTCCAAAACAGTGAGTGGCCCTCGGGGCTTCGGGGGTCCTGTGGGAGAGGGAGGCTGCCGGAGGAGAGGGTCAGGACTCCCTCCGGGGGACGCTTGGCCGAGGGTCCTAGTGGTCAGAGCGACTTTGCTGAGCGAGAGGGCTGCCATGCTGTGAAACTTTGTCACCGGAGTTGGGGGGAGAGAGAGAGCAAAAGGATCCCAGGCCTGCGAGGAGATGCTGCCCCCGCCTCCCCGCCCCAGAATTGGTGAGGGCAGCAGCAGCAGCTCCCACCCCCTCCCTGTAAGTACTAATCTCGGTGTGCCTCCCGAGAGGAGCTTGGGGTGGGGCTGGGGCCCTCCCCCTGGCCCAAATTGGGTGAGTCAGGGCTGCAGTGACCCACCCGGTACCTCCTCTGAACTCTAACGAGTATTTGGCTCTGCGACCCCCCCCCCCCCATTGCAGGCCAATGGCAAAGCATCCCTGCGTCCCCCTCCTCCTCCTCCTCCTCCACCTCCGACTTTTGGTCTATGAGCGCCTTGCTTTGTGTGGAAGACACAAACCTGCTTTGCCCAGGAAGGGGGTTTCTGAGAAGGCAGCCAGCTTCCCTGGCAACAAGAGCATTAGATCCCAGGGGAGGCTGCTGGCTGGACACCCAAGCTCCTGCCACATTTGCTGGTGGCCCACTGCTCCCCAGTGTCCCGGACCCTGCAGGGGGCGCTGGCCAAAGCTGGCCCAAGGGGGAAGAGGGGAAAAGGAGAAAGTCAGCCACTCTGCCGTAGGGTGTCTGCCCAGGCGAGGACAGTGTGCTCTTCTCTCTGCACACTCCCCCACGCTGCCCCAGCCCTGGGCCTCCCTGCTTAGGTCAGTCTCTGGCTCCTGTTTACCTGCAACAATAGCTGGTTGTGCCCAAGAATTTGTTAAATTACCGCCCGTCCTGTTATCTCTGCCCGGTAGCTCCCTCTCCCGCTCTTGCAGTAATGAGCAAATGAGGCCAGGCCTCAACTTTGCCCGCTCTGAAAGGATCTTCTTGGCGCAGGCTGAGTGACCCAGGCTGGGAATGGAGAGACAGTGGCCTATTGTTTTTCTGTGATTATCTGCCATCAAGCTGCCTGTTCTCCTACCATCCCCTGTCCTCAGAACGCACTGATGGCTTCTACTGGACTCAGGAAGCTGAGATTTAGGAGCTGGGGCTGGGGGGCGGGGTGGTAGTGGAGGAGGAAGAGCGAGGAGGAGGAAGGAGGGCGAGATGGTATCCTTGGGAGATGGGGAGCTGCAAAGGGCAAAGGCTTTGTCTGGGTTTGGCATCTCCAGACCGGGAAAGGGGTGGGAGGGAGGTTTACTGTGGTGAGTCTATTTTGGGTTCTGACTTTCACCTTTTATTTACTTGCTGGGTTTTATTTATGTTGCCAGCTGTGAGTCAGAGTGGCAGTGGGGCGTGACAGGGACGGGGTGTGTGGGGGTCTGGGGGAGTGTGGCTTAGGGCCAGTCTCCCCAGCAGGGTCTGGGCAGGGGGACTGCTGTGTGCTCATGGCTTGGGGACACTGCTTCTGGAAGAAATAGCAGGGTGAAATGTCCACAGAGGGACAAAATCGAAACTTCAGAGAGGGGAAATGGGCGGCCGTGATTTCCCCGGGAGCCCGAGGCGTTAGCCTGGCATGGATTTTGGAGGGTCCATCTCTGCGAGCAGGTTCCAGTGTGGGGGGATCCTGTAGGAGGCGGGCTCCTGGTTCGTGCCAGTCAGGCAGGCAGAGAGAAGCCAGAGCCAGTGGCCGGGCGTGAGGCTGTTGTGAACAGAAGGAACTTTGGGAAAAGACAGATCTTCCTTGTGATTGGCTGGTGAACTTGTGAATGATGACCACTCCTGTGAGTGGCAAGAAACTGCCATGGCTCTGCCTCGCAGCTCCCGCGTTCGTTGCGGGGTCTCCCGCCCTGTCTCTTGCTGTCGCTCGGGAAGGCTGGGGCACCGGGAGAACCAGGTGCATCTTGATTCCTCCCTTTGCTGGTTGCAGCACAGGGCAAAGGTGGCCTGCCGGTAATAGCACCTTTGTTTGTGCAGCGAAGGGCAGCTCACAAAGGGCCGCTTTCACCCACACTATCTCATCTGATTCCCGCAGCTGCCCTGGGAGAAGTGGGTGCAATCGTCCCCACTTTGCAGATGAGCGAGCAGAGGCTCCGAGGGGCCGCAGGGAGTTACCAAGATTTCAGGCTGGACAAGAGGCCCAAAGCCTCGGAGCCCCAGTCCCGTGCCCTTTCGTGTCCCCAAAGCCTGGGTTAACTCCGCCTTTCTAGGAGCCGGGCTGCCTTACCGGGGGCTGTTGGGTGCTGAGGGTACGAGACGTCTTCAGAAAGTTGGTGGGAAATGCATATTTTTGCCAAAGCTATGCATGCTTTCAAAATTGTTTGCACCAGAAGAGACTTGTAATTTCATTTTCCATGAACTTTTTGAAGTCCCCCTCATCTTGAGGAGAGGACTGTGTTTACTCTGGGTGGCTTTTGAGTTTTCATCTCATAACCCATTTCAGGCAAAAGGTCACTTCCATTTGTGGGGTGTCCCTGGCTTGCATTGCATGTATTACCTAGACAGGTACCCTGCAGAGTCAGCTCGGAAAGGAAGGAACTCGATTTATCTGATTCTCGAAGGAATAGACTTGCTTGCTATTTGTTGTTATTGTTGTTGTTCTTGCTGTGAGCCAGACACTATGCCAGGTGCTTTGTATGCATAATCTTAAATAATTTGCAGATGACCCTATGAGATGGGTGTTATTAGTTGCCCGTTTTGCAGGTGAGCTTGACCCTGAGGCTCAGAGAGGTTCAATAAGTTGTCCACAGGGTCCCACAGCTGGTGTGTGTGTGTGTGTGTGTGTGTGGGCAGTGTAGGTGGGGTTTGAACCCAGCAGCGTGAGTTAAGGATCTAACTACTTAAGCACAGCGCTTTGCTGCTGGAAGGCTGTTGTGGTTGTGGGTTCTGTCACCTCCGTGTCCTGGGCTGAGAGGGCTTTAGGGCTGAGGGCTGGGTGGTCTCCCGTCTGCAGTGTGATCATCAAGACCCTGTCTGCCTCTCCCGTCTCTTTCAGATTGACCCCAAGGTGGCCTTTCCTCGGCGAGCACAGCCCAAGGTAGGTGTGTCCGGGTCTGGGAGGAGTTTGTTAGCTTGGGCAGCTCCAGGCAGTGATTTTCCCAGCATTCCCTTGCAGGGCAGATGATGCTTCGGGAACCTCCGTGGGAGGTGTTTCTGCAATGGGCTGGGGTGGGAAGAAGGGGTTCTTGGTGGTCTGGCTCTGTGGAATGAAGACACCATGCATTTTTTTTTCCCTCTGTGCTCTGGGGTGGAGTGGAGAAGGGGCTGCATGTGTTGGGGGAGGGGGAACTGCTCAGGGGGTGCATTGTCCTGTATTTGGAGCCAGTACAGTTGGCGCCCTGAGTCTAATTCTGACCTCATAGACCGCAGCCTCCGTGCCCAGGGCGTCTGGGGGTCAAACACAGGACAGATTTACCCCCTGAGGCTGAACTGCAGTCCTGGCCAAGGAGCTGCTTCTGGCTCCCCAGCCCTCCTCCCACCTCTGGGGTAAGATGTGTTGGGCTTGCTGAGGGGGAGGGGACGCTGGAGTCTGTCACCTGTTGTCTTTCCACTTAGGTATCTATGACTTCTTTCTAAAGTATACTTTCCCTGGTGCTTGGGCAGGTTCTCCTGGGGAGAGAGAGAGAGGGTGTGTAGGAAACATGTTTGAGTAGTGGAGCCATGGCGCTCTCAACTTGTGTTGCAGGGCCCAGGCCTAAGGTTCCAAGCCAGGCCCCCAGGGCAACTGCCCAGGTCTTCCTTTTCAAGCAGTGAGCTATAGGGGACAAGAGGACAGCACAGGGAGTCAGGCCCCCCTGAGTCTGTTGGCTTATCACGTGCCCTAAGACTGGGTCCCTCCTCCAGGTGCCTTTTTGCTCTAAGATTCTGGGCTGGTGAGTTCTATTGAGGTTCCCAGCTCCCACCAGTGTGAAAGGAGAGGAACAGTTTTAGGAGACAGGAGAGGGGGCATCCCTGGCAGGGGCCCAGCCCAGGACCTGAAAGCAATTATAGAGCAGGTATTCGAAGGCAGCCGCACCAGGGAGCACATGGTTGGAATTGGGTTAATTCCATTAAGCAGTTTGGTGACAGAAGGTGCTTTAGTGTTAGGATGGGGCTGGGAATTGCTGCGGATTAGCCATGCGCTCCTGGGGTAATTAGGACCATGTGTTCTTCCTAAAACAGGGCTGGGGCCACGGGGCTGCCAGAGGTTGGGCTGGGAGGAGGGTGATGAGGAAAATGTCGGCCGACATGGAGTGCAGGGAGACCCCGTGATGGCCTTGGTGTCTCCCGGGAGGACTGATGGGGTCTTGGAGTTGGGCCATGGGTCCGGGTCAACTCACCTGCCGCCTTCCCCGAGTGAGTCCTAGGGGGAGGTATTTTCCAGGAGCCGACCCCAGGGAGGGAGCCAGGAGGAGGGCCTGCTCGAGCCAGCCAGAGTGTGGGGTGCACAGCTGCCCATGACAGGCCTAGAGGCAGGGGTCCAAGGAAGAGCTTCTGGGGGGGGGGAGCTTCTGAGAGGCTGGGGCCACAGAGAGCTTGTCAGCTGGCATCCTGGCAGGGGGGCCTGAGCCCCTGCTGGTGGCGGGAGGCCACAGGACTCAGATGCCCACTTTCTCATCCCCTCCCCTAACAGATGGTGACTCGAACGAAGAAGATCTTTGTGGGGGGGCTGTCGGTGAACACCACGGTGGAGGACGTGAAGCAGTACTTCGAGCAGTTCGGGAAGGTGGGTCTTTCCCGGGATGCTTGCTGGGGCCGTGAGGCCACTGGAAGATGCCTCAGTGGCGAACAGGGACTTGCCAGGTCATCCTGGGTTTTGCAAAAGGTGAAAGGCAGGACGTGGGGGCGGGGGGGGACTGGGTCCCTCTGTGGGTGAGGCCAGGCTCCTGGCCCATCCCTGGGTGTCCCCGGAGAAAAGCTGCACAGTAGCACCTGTGGTTGCCTGTCCCCTGTATTTTTCTCGTGCTTAGCGTCATTCTCCCAAGGGAGGCCGCACTCCCTAAGCCAGTTCCATCCACTCACCCCTTGGCCTCCTGGGAGTTTGCACCTGTCCAGGCCACAGGGCCATTGTACCTCCCCCACACCCCCACTCCGGGACTCCTCCCTGGTGAGGATGATAAGGAGGCAATAAACATGGCTCCCAATTGCACTCAGCACCCTGCCTGCACAGGTGGGGAGCTTGGGCCAGGAGCTGGGGCTGCTGATCCCCTGGCTATTATCGGGGAGCATAACGGAGCTTCTCACAGTCCTGATCAACCCAGGAGGATGTCAGCCCTGAGGTGCATGGAGTTTGAATTTCTGAGCCTACATAGGAAGAGGTAGGAGGTGTGGCGGTGATGTCACACAACAGGGTGTGTCCCCAGGAAGGCCAGCAAGGTCCCATCCGAAGCTGACCAAGAGGGGCCCAGGTGTGAAGGCTAGGGGTGGGAGGCGGGCTGCCTTGCCTGGGGCTGGCATCCCTGGTCTTGGGTGACACAGGTCGAGGGGCCGGCTGTTTCTGCATGGAGGCCTGTGGAGTCCCCAGGGGACCGCCAGACGTGGCTGGGGAAATGGGCTGGGCGCTGGGCGCTGGCTGGCTGGGGCGGGTGGAGGGTGCCCCGGCCAGCGGATGCTGAGGCGTGAGGCCCAGAGGCCTGGGCGCAGGCGCCTCCGTGGAGACCTGGGTCGGGCGGGCCTGGGCCCCGGAGGGAAGGGCGCTCCTGGGAAGCAGCAGGCCCGGCTCGGCTCCGGCGGGGTGTCTTTGTGTCTGAGCGCCGAGCATTAGAGCTCGCACTAATCTGATCCAGCAGCTGTGATTGGAGGCCGCCTGCCCCCGGGGCCGGCGTTGCCATGGCGACCGGGCCCCAGGAGAAGCCGTCAGCGGCCGCGTCTTTTGTTCGGGCCTAAATCGGCGTTGGCATGTGAAACCGGCCCGGGGAGGCCAGGGGGAGCCGCAGAATAGGCTGCCAGGGAGCGCGGGGGACAGCCGGGAATGCCAAGGGCCCCGCGGCGGGGGGCCCCCCGCCCGGATCGAGGGGCCGCCGCCGAGGGGGGAACAATGGTCAGCCGCCATGGCTGCCACTCAGGCTTAGCGGCCGCCGAACTTGGCGGCTCCCACTGGTCAGCAGGCCCCGGCCGCCTCCCCTCCCCACCCCCACTCTCCCCACCCTGCGCGCGAGCCCCCCTGTCCCCGGGTTCCCATGGAGACCAAAGCCTATTAAGGACACTGGGCCAGGAACCTTCCTCCCCTCAGCTGGCCCCAGGAAGGGGACTGGACTGAGGGGTACCCTGGGCAACCCCACTGTCCCCAGGAGGGGTGTGTCCAGGCAAGGCCAAGGTGGAAGGGTGTGGAGGACCACAGGGATGTTGGGCCTGGAAGAAGGCTGGAAGGACAGTGGCCCTGGGCTCGGTTTGTGGGTCAGGCGAGAACTCAGAGCTGCAGGGTTAGGGAAGAGGGTGTGGCTGATTCGGTTCATTCATTCACTGAATCCATTCAGAAAAGGATTATTTAGCTCCTGAGTCAAGGTGCTCAGTAGGGTGGTGATCACGGGCCTACCTGGCAGCCTTCATGGAGCCTTGCAGCCAATGTTGTGGCTGTTCCCTCCCATGTGACCACGAGCGAGCCTCCCCCCCCACCAACATAAAGATGATAGCGAGAGCCCTCATTTATTAAGCACTTACTACATGCCAGGTACTGTGAATCTTCAGTGTTTCACACCTGATCTCGTTTCCCGATACTTGGTGAGGTCAGAAGCATAGAACCAAGGTCACAGAGACAGGAAGCCCTTTGCACAGGGCTCCCCAACCAGCCAGGGCAGGACCCAGGACTCCAGCACAGGCCTGTCCTCCAACTGTGCTTTATCGGGGTTCTCTGTCTGGATTTCTTTTTTCCCATCGGTTAAGCGAGGGATGGGGGCACGTGTCTGGAGCCTAAAAGTTTTCCCACTGCAGCTGAGTTGGGGGTCCACAGGGTCGGGAGTGAGGGAGGTAGTCGGATGTTGAGCCTGGGCCAGGAAGATCCTTGGGAAGGAAAACCTCATTTTCCTCTGAGATTGGCAGGGCCCGACTTCCTCCTGACGCTGTAGGGTCCTGGTTCTGCCTGGGGGGTGAGGGGGGCACAGAGGCAGGCCCAGTGTATCTCGATGTCTAAGGAGAACTGCAGGACCACCGTAGTTCGGGGTCTACCCTTTCTGCTTTAAGGACACGAGGGAGACCCCTTATAAGGCCCATGATGGGCTTGGACATGGAGGCAAGAAGAGTGGGGGAGAAGCCGAACCCCGGGACCAGAGGAAGTTTTCGTTTCTCCTTTGGCTGCCTGGCCACTGGAGGGGAGGGAGGGGGCTGCACTGAGATGGGGAGGGAACATCCGAAGCAGCCCCTGATTTCCTGCCAAGGTGAGCCCAGCCTTAGCCCAGAGCGCGGGAAGGAGATGGAGGTGGAGGCAAGGAGGCGGGACTCTGGGGGAGAAGCTGAGGCTTGGCTGTCCCTCTGGGGGATGTCTTGGGGGAGTATATGAAGAGGGTCCCAGAGGGGGTGGAGAGGTAGGCTCTAGGCCCTCCTGCGTCCCTTTCCCTTCCCCCAGTTGGTGGGAGGCGAGCAGCCCAGGCACTGAGCACTACTTGCTTTAATTAGAGCCTCCAGCAAAAGGAAACCTCAATTAGAGGAACAGAGCTCTACCAAGAGAGGGGAGTTGAGTCTGGCTGCTGTCCGCCTGGCCTTTTGCAGAAAGGGAAGAGGCTTTTGCTTCCCCGTCTCATATTTCTTTCTCTGGCACCCGCTCCGTGCTTCTTCCTCCTCACCAGCTTGGTCTAGGACTTGCTGTGTGACCTTGGGCAGGCGGCTTCACCTCTCCGAGCCCGAGCCCGTTTCCTTATCTATTCCATGGGACCCCAACCCTGCAGGGGCTGTGGGGAGGACGATGGGGGCAAAAGTGCCAGGCATACATTTGGAGCTTAATAAATGCAGGCTAGCCCCTTGAGAATCTGGTGGTTGCTGCGGCCTCTAGTGAGGTTGCAGATGGAAAGTGGTCCCCTGCCAGGGAGCAGGCTGGAGACAAAAGCCCGTAGTGGATGAGAGGGGAGTGGAGTGGGTTGGGTGGAGTCCCCTGGCGTCCGGGTGTTCTCCATAGCAGGCTCTGTTTCAGGTGGACGATGCCATGCTGATGTTTGACAAAACCACCAACCGGCACCGAGGTGAGGGGGGTGTTGGGCCGGGGCCGTGGTCAGCGGGTGGGGGGGGGCGCAGGTCACAGCTGCCCTTTCATCTCGCCTCCTGACATCCTATCCCCAAGGATCTGCATCCTCTCCCCGGCCTGGCCTTACAGAAGGCTTTTGTCCTGCCATTCATTTCCTGTGCAGAGAAACTTGCCTGACTGCCCAAGAGGGGGCAGAGGAGCAGCCCCGCCACCCCCTCCCTCCCCGGGGTCTGCCTCTGGCTGGCGCTCACCTTGTCCCTGGTAACCAGAGCTTGGGCCAGGCAGCCCCAGGGTCAGGCTAACCCCAAGGCCCCACAATCTGCTCCAGCACTGCCCCTGCACTGGGGCTGAGCCCCGCCCCCAGCCCCTTGCCCCTGAACCTGTGTGCTTCTGAGCCACACCACTAGCCACACTGTGTCACTGCCTGTGTTGTTTTTTTTCCCAAGGGCCTTGCCTTCTGAGCCCAGCCCGGCCCGGCCCCTGGAGCACACCCTGGAGGGGGCAGGGCTGTTTCTCTGGTTGTTTCAGGGCTTGGGGAGGGGAGCCTTTTAGGCCTTTGGGGAGTGGGATGTATGTGATTTGTATTTGTATACGTGTGTGGGTTTGTATCTGTGTGTGTGAACATGTCCACAACTGAAAGCAAGTGTGCTTCAAAGCGTTCGTGGGAAGATAGAATGAAAGAATAAGTTGATTTTCATGTAAAAAATTGTGAAATCCCTGCATTGTTGTTTTTCCCCGTAGTATCTCTTCCATGAACCTTTTGAAGACCCCTCATATTTGTGGATGTCTGGTGCAAGGTCAGGGTGCACCACTGAGTGTCTGTGGGAGATCTGGATACCTAGGTGTGTGTCTGTGTGTCCCTGTGTGTGCTCCTACCTGCTGTGGTGTGTATGTGCGTGCGTGTGTGTGTCTGTGTCTGTGTCTAGTTGGTTGGGCCCCCCTTTGTATAGGTTTCAGTGAGTATCTGTGGATGTCTTTGTCCCCTGTTTGGAAAGCATCAGGGAAAGGTAAAAAGGCCCATGGAAGGTACAGTTGCCTCTGTGGGCTCCACGTCCACACACGCCATCAGCTCTGGCTGGGAAATATTCAGTAACAACTGGTGTCTGTTCTGAACAGATAGACCTGTTCCTTGTCATGACTCCCTATACAACACCCTATAACAACGACTGGGACAGTTATGCTGTATCGGGTACAATAAGCAGCCTAGAGATGATTTAACATATAGGGGAGGATGTGTGTAGGCTCTATGCTAATACTATTGATTTTTTTGTTTTTAAAGATTTATTTATTTATTTGAAAGACAGACAGACAGAGGGAGAGAGAGATCTTTCAGCCACTGGTTCACTTTCCAAATGGTTGCAACCACCAGGAGTAGGCCAGGCTGAAGCCAAGAGCCAGGAACTCCATCCAGGTCTCCCACATGGGTAGCAGGGACCCAAACACTTGGGCTGTCCCCTTGCTGTCTCCCTGGTGCATTAGCAGGAAGCTGGATCAGAAGCAGAGCAGCCAGGACTGGGACTGGCACTCGGATATGGGCTGCTGGCATTAGAAGTGGCGGGTTAACCCTCTGAGCCACAACGCCGACCCCTGCTATGCCATTGTCTATCAGTGACTTGAACATCCACGGACTTTAGGGTCTGTAAGGATTCCTGGAACCAATCCCACTGGGTACCAACTCGCCACTCTCTAACCTGCTGTGTGACCTTGGGCAAGTTGTTTCACTCCGCTGGGCCTTGGTTTTTCTCAGCCCGTGTGTAATTTGGAACTTTAAACCCTGTCTCAGCAGGTGGTTGAGACGCTCCTGGCTGTGGGCAGAGCCTTTCATCAATTCTCAGACACTCGCCCGCAAGAGTGGAGCTGTGGTGTTAGTGCGACCTGGAGCTGGGGGTTGACCCTGAGCCCTGCTTCTGACCCTGCCTCTGCCCTTTGTGCAACCTCTAGGGTTCGGGTTTGTCACGTTTGAGAGCGAAGACATCGTGGAGAAAGTGTGTGAAATCCACTTCCATGAAATCAACAACAAAATGGTGAGCTGGGATTGGATGGGGGCAGCAGCACGGAGAGAGAGAGAGAGAGAGAGAGAGAGGATGGGGTTTCAATGAAGCTGGCGGGGGGCTCCCAGTGAGAGGGACAGAGGCCGTTCTCCTACCCTCTGAAAACCTAGACAGGGAGGCAGTGTCACCTGGCGGTTAACTGGGCAGATGACTTCCCTCCTTTGAACCTCAGTTTCCTTATCTATAAAAAGGGGAGTGGCAACAGCACCCCAGTCACAGGGTCGGCGTAATTAGCACTCCATGAACCGCTGCTTGCAAAGCTGGTTACACAGTGCCTGCTGGGAAACAGGCGGGGCAGGGACCCAGATCTGCAGGGAGGACTGACCGCCAGGTCTCTTTGCAGGTGGAATGTAAGAAAGCTCAGCCAAAGGAGGTGATGTCGCCGACGGGCTCAGCCCGGGGGAGGTCTCGAGTCATGCCCTATGGAATGGATGCCTTCATGCTGGGCATCGGCATGCTGGGTACGTGCTAGGCCTGCACGTGTGGCTGCGAGGGTGCCTCAACTCGTCTGTGGTCTGCTCTCCTGTCTGAGTCACTGGGCAGGAGCGGAGACCAGGGATCTCAGGTCTGGCAGCCCTACCCTAGGTGGGGTGGTTTGGTTGTGGCATGCTGCCCTCTGGTGGTAGCCATAAGAATGGTCCAGCTACTCTGCTTTTATTGGTCTTCTGTCCGTCCATCAGTCTGTCCATCCATCCATCCATCCATCCATCCAGTAAATAGCTATTGAGCAGCCATGTATATCAGGTACTATTCCAGGCATCACAACGATGATGTTCCTGAGCTTTATGGCCTGGGAAGACAATTAGGAAAATAAATAGATTTATGACGGCATATAGGTTGCCAAGGGAGTGTGGTCATAGGAAACTTGACGTAGACTTGGAGAAGCCAGACGATAAGTAACATTTAAGTTGAGTCTGTGGCTTGAGTAGGAGCCAGGTATGAGAGGCCAGGGGAGAAGGGAAGGGGAAAGTGTCGTGGGCCGAGGGAATAGCATGTGCAAAGACCCGTTGGAAAAGCAAACAGAAGGCTGCCTCTTCTAATTCACTCAACTGAGATGTGTCCGGCAGCCTCTGAGAGGCAAGGCCTGCCCTCACGGGGGAAGGCAAGACTTCCTCCTGCAAGGGGAGGCAGGAGTAAGTGCTCACTGTCACCACAGAGTGATTACAGGCAGGGAGGCGAAGGCTGCCATGAGCCGTGGAAGTTGGGCTGTGTTTGGGACCCAGGAGCAAGGGTGGGACATTTGTCCTTGGCCCCTGGAGGGTCAGTGTCCTGGAGAGGTGACATGCGTGCACACAGAAAGAAAGCAACACCAGGGGGCTTCCTGCCAGGCACAGGGGAGGGGTGCACAGAGAGGCGCTGTGGGGTGACCTAGGGGTCAAGGACGAGGTGAGGGAGGTGAGTACCTGCCAGGCGGGGCACAGGCTTGTCTTGAAGTTTGCTGTTACCTAACTCTTTATTTGGAAGTAATTCCAGCCACTCAGAAGAGTGGCAAAGGTAGAATAATGCAAAGAATATCCACATACTTTTAAGCAAGATTTTTCTTTTCTTTTTTTTTTTTTTTTTGGACAGGCAGAGTGGACAGTGAGAGAGAGAGACAGAGAGAAAGGTCTTCCTTTGCCGTTGGTTCACCCTCCAATGGCCGCCGCGGCCAGTGCTGCGGCCGGCGCACCGCGCTGATCCGATGGCAGGAGCCAGGAGCCAGGTGCTTTTCCTGGTCTCCCATGGGGTGCAGGGCCCAAGCACCTGGGCCATCCTCCACTGCACTCCCTGGCCACAGCAGAGAGCTGGCCTGGAAGAGGGGCAACCGGGACAGAATCCGGCACCCCAACCGGGACTAGAACCCCGTGTGCCGGCGCCACTAGGCGGAGGATTAGCCTAGTGAGCCGCGGCACCGGCTAGCAAGATTTTTCAAAATTTAGTTTTATTTGAAAGGCAGAGAAAGAGACAGGGACAAACAGAGAAAGAGTTCCCATCTGGCGATTCACTTCCCAAATGCCTGCAGCAGCCAGGGCTGGGTCAGGCCAAAGCCGGGAACTCAGTCCAGGTCTCCCACGTCGGTGGCAGGGACCCAACTACTTGAGCCATCACCTGCGGCCTCCCAGGGTACGCATTAGTAAGAAGCTGGATCAGCACCCAGGCACTCTGAGATGGGAGGTGGGATCCCAGACAGCATTTTTTTTTTTTTTTTTGAAAATTTATTTATTTGTTTGAAAGGCAGAGTTACAGAGGCAGAGAAAAGAGAGATCTTCCATCTGCTGGTTCACTCCCCAAATGGCCACACTGGCTGGAGCTGAGACCATCCGAAGCCAGGAACCAGGAGCTTCCCCCAGGTCTCCCACATGGGTGCAGGGACCCAAGCACTTGGGTCATCTTTACTGTTTTCCCAGGCCATAGCAGAGAGCCGGATTGGAAGTGGAGCAGCCAGGCCTCAAACGGGCGTCCATATGGGATGCTGGCACTGCAGGCAGCCGCTTTACCCGCTACCCCACAGCACTGGCCCCCCAAACAGCATGTTAAACTGCTGCACCAAATGCCCAGTGTCCATACGCCCTTTCCTCAGGGTCACCTGTTGTTAGCATTTTACCCTGTTTCCTTTGACATTTTCTCTCTGCGTGAGTGTACACGCACATGCATGCATACATACACTTGGGACTATCCCTGAATCATTGGAGGGTAATAACAGGCGCTGTGTTCCTGCCCCAGTATCCCTGAGGTGAGAGCTTGGCTTTTGTGAAGCCACAGTCTAGTGTCAAGTTCATAAATTTATATTGATATATTATTATCTAATCTATTTGCAGTTTTATCAGTTAACCCAAAAATATATCCAGCATCTTTTCGCCCTCCAGAATAAGATGCAGGCTAAAACGAGGTCTTGGATTTCATTGTCCTGTCTCTTTAACCTCCTTTGATCTGAAACATTGAGAAAGTTTTTTTTTTTTTTTCTTAAAGGTGATTCATGAGCCAGGTCCACTTCCATTTAAAAGCAAACAGGGCCGGTGCCACGGCTCACTAGGCTCACTAGGCTAATCCTCTGCCTTGTGGCGCCGGCACACCGGGTTCTAGTCCCGGTCGGGGCGCCGGATTCTGTCCCGGTTGCCCCTCTTCCAGGCCAGCTCTCTGCTGTGGCCAGGGAGTGCAGTGGAGGATGGCCCAAGTACTTGGGCCCTGAACCCCATGGGAGATCAGGATAAGCACCTGGCTCCTGCCATCGGATCAGTGCGGTGCGCTGGCGCACTGGCCATGGCGGCCATTGGAGGGTGAACCAACGGCAAAGGAAGACCTTTCTCTCTGTCTCTCTCACTGTCCACTCTGCCTGTCAAAAAAAGCAAACAGGAAAAAAAACCCCGAAACCTTAAATAAGTAGTGAAACTAGTGGTTAAGAGCTTTGGAGCCAGCCAGATCTGAATTTGAATGCTGATTGCAATTATTTCTCACCGTATGATTTTTCTTTGGGAAGACAGAAAAATAGGAGATGAGTTCAGATCATTATCATCAGTGCGATGAGAGGGAAACTCAGGACTGCGTGACAGACTGTGATTGACAGGAAGGAGGACTCCTGTGGAAGGACCTCCCTGAGGCTTGTCCAGTGAGAAGTCAATCATGCAGTAACTGGAGAAGCGTTCCAGGCAGGAGCTGGGGCATGTGCAAAGGCCCTGGGGTGGGAGTGAACTTGGCAAGTCTGATGCCAGTGGGAGTGGGGAGGGGCCACAGAGTGTAGGAGATGAGACCAGGAAGGAAGCAGGAGCCAGAGCACGAGGGGCTCTGGATTATTCTCAGCCGAGAAATATCACCTCCCTGAGCCTCAGCTTCCTTGTCTGTAAAAATGGGGCTCCCAATACCTACATGTTGGGGTGTTTGTGAGGTTTAATAAGATGATGAAGGGCCTGGCACAGGACGAGTATCGGAGAGGACTGTGTATGAATCATGATACAGGGTGCAGGTGGGGGCAGTAAGTGGCTTAGATGCATCCCCCTGAGTAGGGTCTGTGCTGTGGGGGAGGCATCTGACATTGCCCCCCTTGCCCCATCAGGTTACCCAGGGTTCCAAGCCACGACCTACGCCAGCCGGAGCTACACAGGCCTCGCCCCTGGCTACACCTACCAGTTCCCCGGTAAGTCCTGTTTGGTGTCTAGCTGCTGCCTGCATGTCCCCGTTCCCTGGGTGGTGTCTGGGGGTGCACAGCTGGGGGGCTGGCTGCTGCAGGCTTGGAAGGAAGCGCGCGTCTGACGTCTGAGGAAAGAGGGCCTCTCCCAACTCGCCACCCTCCCTGCTCCTCCCCAGAATCTGCGGGTGGGAGCTCCCAGCATGGGCCCTGCATGGCCCCCTTCTCTCCCAGGCCCCGCTCCGCCTGTGTCCCACCTTCCTTCCTCCCAACCTCAACCTGGGTTGCCACTTCCACCAAGGAGGGCATTGGGCTTGTGGTAGGGCCCTCGCCCAGGGCCAATGTTGCTTGCGTCTTCCCGGATACACCTGTCATGCCCGGGCGCTATGCTGAATGCTTTCTAGGCCAGACAAGACTTTTGAGACACTGAATGCTGAAAAGCAATCTTGGATCAGTCTGCTCACTACCCTCATCTGTGATCCTGCGTGGAAATCTCACAGGACCTGAGAGCCAGTCGCGGGAAGCCCAGCAAAGGGCTGGTCTTTGCTGCAAGGATTTTTAAGTGGATTTTTGTTTTTGTTTTTTAAGATTTATTTATTTACTTGAAAAGCAGAGTGATAGGAAGAAAGCAAATGAGATCTTTTATCCACTGGTTCACTCCCCAAATGGCCGCAGCGACCTGGGCTGGGCCAGGCGGAAGCCAGGATCCAGCAGCTCCATCCAAGTCTCCCACATGGTTGTCAGGGACCAGGGCCAAGCACTTGGGCCATCTTCTGCTGCTTTCTCAGGTGCATTAGCAAGGAGCTGGATTGGAAGTGGAGCAGCCAGGACACTGATATGGGATGCTGGCATCTCAGGTTAACCTGCTGTGCCAAAACACCGGCCCCTGGTTTTTTTTTTTGTTTTTTTTTTTTTTAAGGTTTTATTTATTTATTTGAAAGGTAGAGTTACAGAGAGAGAAAGACAAAGAGAAAAGTCTTCTATCCACTGGTACACTCCCCAAGTGGCTGCCATGCCCAGAAGTAGGCCGATCCAAAGCCAGGAGCTTCTTCTGGGTCTCCCACATAGGTGCAGAAGACCAAGCACTTGGGTCATCTTCTATTGCTTTCCCAGACCATGGCAGAGAGCTGGATCGGAAGAGGAGCCGCTGGGACTAGAACTGGTGCCCATATGGGAAGCTGGCGTCACAGACAGAGGCTTAGCCCACTAAGCCACAGCGCCAGGCCCTGTTTTTGTTTTTAATATCAAGTATCAAACTTTTACAAGTTCTTTTTTTTTTAATCTTCTTTATGTGGAGGGTCCCTAATGCTGAGTCCTCAACCCCTGTGGCTTTTGAGCTTGGAATCCTTTGCGTGCCTTAAGACATCGAATCCTCTCTGTAACGGCACGGAGGAGGGGCAGTTGCCCCATCTCATGGGCAAGGAAACAGCTCCAGGAGGGAGATGACTTGTTGAGAAGACCCACGCAGGACGTGGCCGAGCCCAGGGCCCCGAGCCCAACCTGTTCCAGGGTGTGGCCTTGCATCAAGCCGCCTCCCCAGCCCCCACACCACAGGGGGAGAGGAGGATTCTGGGAGCTGGTTCAGTGCCATCCCAAGCCTTTTCAGCAATCCCCGGGCTCGAAGCTCCAGTGTCACCCCGGGGTGGACGTGGCAACTCCACCAGCTCTGTCTGTCTTCTCCGTGTCTCTCCGTCCCCTCCCCTGCCTGCTGGGGACCGTGCTGTCCCCACCCCCAGCTCTTGGCTCCTGTGCATGGCCTGTCCCCTCACCTGGTGTCCCCATGGGTACGTTCGTCCTCCCTGGGCCACGCCCAAGGGGCCCCCGACGTCTGCCTAAGCTGTTTTACGTTTCATTTTAGAATTCCGTGTAGAGCGGACCCCTCTCCCGAGCGCCCCAGTCCTCCCCGAGCTCACAGGTCAGTCGCTCGGATTTCATACACCTCACAGGCCTCGTGGGGAGGAAGAGAGGGGGCCAGGGACATTCCTGGGAAAATCGAGGGGACCCCTTCCCCCTGCGCACCAGCCATCCTGCTGTGGCGACACGGCACACTGTGTGGGGGCTGGCCAGTCTGGATAGCTCCACGGCCCCTGGAGGGGAGGGGGGCATAGGGCCAAGCCAAGCAGATGGAAGCAAAAGTCACTCATTCATCCACTTGGCAAATATTTATCTAGCACCTTCCATGTGCCAGGCACCACGGAGGTTCTGGGATCCAACAGTGAACAAGCCAGGGTCTCCAACTCAGAGCAGAGTAGGCTGGGTGGGGTTTCCTGCAGACTGGAGTGGGCATGCCTGCAACACTTGGTACCCGCTGGCCCGGGCCGAAACGGGGTGCAGACCCCGTACCCCCAGGTCTCGTTTTTCTGGAGAAGCCAGAAACCCAACGCTCGCTTCCAGATGAATTTTTCAATCATTTTCAAATGTCGGCAACAAATTTGTAAAACCCTGCGGGTGCCTAACCCAACACATCTGAGGGCTGAACTTGGCCCTGAGGTTACCCATTCGTGACTTCTGGGCAAGCAGGGTGAAGGTGCTTGACCAGCTGAGAGTCAATCCTCTGGCTGGGAGCTCCCCGCGGGCCGCCCAGCTCAGAGGTGGAGTGGACGTGGGGCTGAGGGCCAGCGATGTGGGCCTCCAGGGGTCTCTCTGTCCACCCCGCCTCTCCCCCCACCCCACCCCCAGCCTGACTGTGTGTGGAGGATGTGAGCATGGACGTGGCTCTGAAGGAGGCCTTCCTTCCAAGGGGTGCTCAGGGTTCCCCTGAAATGGGGGCTTGGGGAGGAAAACGGGTGAAGGAAGGGGAGGGAGCGAGGTCTGGGGGTGGAGGTGACGAGGGGCACCTGACCAACACTTGGAATGGAGTCCCTTTCTAGCCATATAAGAACTAAAAAAAAAATTTTTAATTATTATTAGTTTTATTTATATGACGGACACAGAGGAAGAAATCTCCCATCTGCTTGTTTATCCCCCAAATGTCCCCAACAGCTGGGGCTGGGCCAGGCTGAAGCCAGGAGCTGAGAATCCATCCTTGTCTCCCGTGCGGGTGGCAGGGACCCGGCTACTTGGGCCGTCAGTGCTGCCTCGCAGGTGCTCCGGTGTGGGATGTGGGCAGCCCAAGTGATTTCTCTCCTGCTAGGCCAAACACCTGCCCCATAAATAAGTCATCCTTATCACAGTTGTGGTGTGGGCTGGCGTGGGCTACTCTTTGTGAAAATGCCTCAGTGAACCAAAGACAGACCCCCAAGCCCAGCCCCTGCCGCTGAAGGCTGAGGGGAGCACCCTCTTGGCAGACGCTGTCAGGAGAGGAAGGGGGTTCAGGCTCAGCAGTTCTCCGGCACTCGCAGTCTGACCTTGCCCCCTGTGCAGGGGCGGGGCGGGGCGGGGCGGGGGGAGACCCAGGCGTTTCTTTTACATACTCCATAGACTGATTGTGCCAGAGCTGGGCCAGGCGCTGGGGTCCAAGAGAGAACAAGACAGACAAGGTCAAGGTCCCTGTCTTCCCCCCAGCTGGGAGGAGGGAGGCAGCAGGGAAGTGGTAATCAGACACTTAGATACTTCCCGAGGGTGAGGGATTCCACAGGAAAATAAGGCAGAGACTGCCGAGGTGTTGGGGTAGGGGGCAAGAGGAGTGTGGTCAAGGAAGGGTTTTTTTGTTTTGTTTTTTTTTTTAAGATTTTTATTTATTTATTTATTTGGAAGGCAGAGTTTTATATATAGAGAGAGGTCTTCCATCTGCTGATTGACTCACCAGATGGCCACATGGACTGGGGCTGGGGCTGGGCCGGGCAGAAGTCAGGAGCTTCCTCCAGGTCTCCCACGTGGGTGTAGGGCCCCAAGCAGGGCCATCTTGCATTGTTCTCCCAGGCACGTTAGCAGGGAGCTAAATGGGAATTGGTGCAGCTGGGACTCAGACAGGTGGCCTTATGGGATACCAGCGCTGCAGATCACGTAACTCCCTACACCACAGTGCTGCCCCCATATGAGAGGCTTCTAAGAGGAGGTGACATACAAGTGAGGAGGAGCCAACTGGAAGATGATTGGTTGCCTGGACTTGATTCCTCAGTGGCCTTGCCAAGGGTTTTTCCAGGGCATCTTGTCTGGGCTCCCTAGCCCCAAGATAGTTCCTTTCCAGTTTAGGGCCAGGATTACCAAAGCAGCCCAGAGGGGTGCATCTTGAGCTGGGAGCCTAACTGGCGTTCCTGAAGCCTTGCCAAATGCAAACCCTGAAGACCCTCTCCCGTGGCAGGGGCTGGAGCCTCTCTGGGTCTGCAGCAACAGAGCCAAGCAGTAGGGGGCGCTCACCTCTCGGCGCTGGGGAGCTCCAGGCTCAAGCTGACTACGTTAGTTCTGTAGACTTTCTCCTAGTCCTGCTGCTGCCGACAATTGTTAAACTCCCTGTAGCTGCCTGGGAGGTAAACAACAGTCTAGGGAGGAGCCAGGCCCCAGTATGCCAGAGAAGGGTGGAGGACGGAGTGGTGGTTTCTGGCCGGGTGCTCTGGGAGAAAGGGGACGCGAGGGACCCAGGACACACAGCAGAAGGGGCTGCAGGTGCAGCTGTGGCCTCCACAGGGTAAAAACCTCAGCCTCACGCCAGGGGGCGCTCCGGAGCCTCAGCTGCCCCAGAGTTGCCCCCTCCCCCCCAGGCCACCGGCCTGGCTTTCTGGACCTATGCCAGTTATGGGTTGCAACCCCTCAAGTGCCTCTGGGCTCCATGGGTTGCTCAAGTGCATTCCTGAGACCAGGGAAGAAACTGAGGCAGGCTGCTCCCTGGGAAGCCATCACTCTCCTCCCTCCCGCGGGACAGGGCACACAGAGGGACCCGAGGCAGCTCTTCCTGCCTTGACCCCTCTGAGAGGCTCTGCCCAAAGCAGGGGCCTCCTTTGCCCACCCCCACCCCTCGCCAGCCACACTGAGGTGCCTGTGCCTTCCGTTTCAGCCATTCCTCTCACTGCTTACGGACCCATGGCGGCGGCGGCGGCAGCGGCGGCTGTGGTTCGAGGGACAGGTGAGGACTTGTGGGGTGCAAGAAGCAAGGGGAAGGGGGACCAGAGAAGCCCAGAGGGAAGAGGAGGTGGCCACTACCACCCTGTGGCTGAAGGACCTATCGATTAATTCACCTAGCACTGTTACCTGAACACCTGCTGTGTGCTGGGCATTGTACAGGCCCTGGCGGGCCAGCCAAGAAAGAGACTGACAGGTGGTCTCTGCCCTCCCAAGCTCCCAGGCTGGTGGGGCCCACATATTAGATGGGCAGTGGCACTTAAGGCCACTGCTGCTATGCTGCAGGGGGTCATGGGAGCTGCCAAGAGGAAGAGCCTCTTAGTTTTAGATGTGAAGGCAAAGAGGAGGAAAAGTGTTGCTGGCCAAGGGACTTGCACGTGCAAAGGCTCAGGGGTCAGTGAGGTCAGAGCAAGGAAGTGGAGAGGAGGCAGAAAGAGCCAGGCCTGGGGAGACAGTGGATGTTCCGAGCAGTGGTGCAGTGCAGGTGTCAGGGTCTAGGAACTGCCCTTGGCTCCAGGTAGAGAGGGGGGCTCAAGAGGGGAGGCTGCAGAGTGGTTAGACAGGAGGTGATGGGGGCCTGGGATGGTGGGGTGGAAGGACCTGGCGAGATCTCCAGGAGATCCAGGAGGACCTGCTGGGATATAGAGGTCAAGGCCAGGGTGGGTGGGTCTGAGGGGATGGCGTGGGCAGCCATGGGCGCCGGGGCTATCACTGTCTTCTTTCTGGGTTGCCAGGCTCTCACCCCTGGACGATGGCTCCCCCTCCAGGTTCGACTCCCAGCCGCACAGGGGGCTTCCTGGGGACCACCAGCCCTGGCCCCATGGCTGAGCTCTACGGGGCGGCCAACCAGGACTCGGGGGTCAGCAGCTACATCAGCGCCGCCAGCCCTGCCCCCAGCACTGGCTTTGGCCACAGTCTTGGGGTGAGTGGACAGGCCAGCCTGGTGGTCTCCACCTAACCCCTCACCACAGGAGATCCCAAAGTTGGGGGAGGGAGAGGACTAGGCCTCTGGGGCCAAGGGGAGTGGGACGGGAGACAGCAGGGCGGAGAGGATGGGGGTCGGCACTGCTGTGCGGAGTGTTTAAGGCTGGGTATGCTAGTTGTCAGCTGCACTCTGGGGCTGTTGTGCCCTGGGACGCCCATCCCTGCCTACTAGATGCCAGCTGAGGGGCACCCAGGTTTAACCAGGGTACTGGCCACAGGCAGATTCCCAGGCTCCGCCCCATAGAATCTTCCAGCAAATTTGCGGGGGGAGAGGGGTCGGGGAGAAGGAGGTGGGGTGCAAGGGCAAGGTGGAGAAAGGTTTGTGCCTCTCATCAGGTGTCCTGCGGGAGGCAGGAGGAGCCCCAAGATCCTCTCTGCTTTGTCTGGGAATCTAGGATTCAAATTTTTTTCCTTTTCAGGGCCCCTTGATTGCCACAGCCTTCACCAATGGGTACCACTGAAGCAGGGGACAGGTGGCAGGAGGTGAGAAGGCAGGGAGGGGCAAGGGAAGAGGGTGGCCCTGGGGAAGCCCAACCAGTCGGGGGCACAGACCCTGTCCCTGTCCCCTCCAAGGGAGTCAGTCACACCCTCCGAGGCCAGTGAACAACTGAAAAGTCACTCAATCTGCCACCTTCTAAAATATAAATTCAGACAGCAACAAGGCATCCCCTCCTACCTCTCTGGCTGGCCAGGACTGTTCTAATGCAGAATGCCTGGTGAAGGTGAAGGTGAGGGGGAAGCTCAGGCTTCGTGGCGGCAGCGATTTTAAACATTCATGCCCTTTGACCCAAGGATTCCACTTCTAGGCTTTTATTTTAAAAACTGCACGTAACTGAAGTGTCCATCCAAAGGGGGAGCTGTTACATAAAAGAGGTGGAATAGGATACCGCTGTTCAAACAGGAGACCATTGACACCTGGGACCCCCACCCCCTGGGACAAACAACCCCCACTCCCACCCACCCACCCCCATGTACTGAGACAGTGGGGTCTGGGAGGATGTGAGCCCCATGGCATCTTCTACATTCACTATTCAAAGTGAATGAGACCGACAAGGCTCTCTGTCATTCTCCAGACAGAACCGGGACAATTCCACATTGGGGTAGGGGTGTGTGTGTGTGTGTGTGTGTGTGTTAGGGTGACGTCTGTGTAATTCCAGCCCTCCGAGCAGGGAACAGAGAATGCAAAATCCGAGCGCAGAGCTCTCCCCAGAGGGGTTAAAGAAGCCTTAGGAGAGAGGCTGGGTGGGGTCAGAGCGCCCCCCACCCCACCCCTGCTAACTGCCCGCTCTGTTCCCAGCCCCCAGCCTGCAGCTGACTGAGGACCACGAGTGAGCCAGCGAGGGGGTGGGGACACCTCAGCCGCAGCCGCCGCCCCCTCCCCCGCAGCGACTCGGACCCGCTACTGCCTGCCCCCACTCCCCGGGCCCGGCCCCTGCCCTGCCGCCCCGACTGCGTCTGGCTCCCCTACTAACCGCCTTCTCCTCGCCCTCGCCCTGCTCACCTGCCCCGCTCCCTGCCCGCTTTTATTTATTTTGGATTAGCCGGTCCCCCCACCCAACTCCTGCCTGGGGTCTGTGCCCCTTCCCCCCAACACCGACCGCTGAGCCCTCCCCCCCGCCCCGGACGCCCCCTCCCCAGAAGGCTTTTGTATTTGTGCATAGCTAGAGTGAGGGCGAGGGCGCCTGCTACAGGCTGCACCCCAACCCCGAGGTTTTTATTCAGATTTTTCCCTCCTTTTATTTTTTTTTCTTCTTTCTTTCTTTTTCTTTTTTCTTTTTTAAAGAAGCCGTTTTTAAACTATTTCTAGGTTTGTGAATGTGAAGCCCCAGGCCGCAGGGGGCAAGGGGCCAGGTGCCCCCCCACCAGCTGAGAACAAAGCGTCCCTGTAGGCGCGGGCCCCTGGCCGCAGAGAGGAGGCCGGGCTGCGGGGAGGCCAGGCCGAGCCCCTGGAACAACCCGACCTGTATCATATGTAAATACTGCGAGGCGGAGACCCCGGGCGAGGGCCCGCCTCGCCCCACCCTCTCTGTCCACTCCGCAGACACCGTTACTGTAAGCTCGCGGTTCCGGGCAGGCCCACTCCCCCAGGCCCTGGGGGTCAAGGCCTCGGCCTGCTCACCCCACAGCCCCAGTGTGGGGACGAGCGAGGAGAGGGCCGGCCCAGAGCCGCGGCTGGAAAGGAATGAACTCTCCAAAGGTCTCCGCTCGCTCGGAGCCGTGCTGCACCCCGCGGTTGGGTGGCGGCGGCGGGGGGCGCTTGGGCGAGGGGCGCGCCCCCAGGGGAAGCCAAGGGCTGCTCAGGGAACCCCCACATTCTCTCACCGAAGTTTCCCGCCGGGATGGTCCCGTGGCCAGAGCCCCTTTCAGAGGAAGAGGAGAGACTCGGGAACGCGGGGGCCCTGGCTGGCAGGGCGCCCGCTGCCTTGGGCGAGCCCCTCGGGGGACCCCCCTCCGCCCCCGGGCCTGAGATGGGGGGCCTCCGCGCCCCTCCCTGTGCCGGTGCCCGCCCCCCGAGAGCCCCCTTTGGAGAGTTAACCGTCTGTGTGAGGTGCTTAACCTACTAGCCCTGAGAACACAAAGCAATAATCTTTGTTACTGAGATGCGCGGCTGTTTGTGTTTTTGGTTTTTTTTTTTTTAAATGTTTCCTAATAAAAGAGAAGCTGCATTTTATTGGTTTTTATTTTTGATTTTCTACACATTTGAGCTGAGTCCTGATGGACTTTGCTCCCCTCCTCTCCCCCACCCGTGACCCCCTCCCATTCTACCGGGCCCTGCCGTGGTGGGCTCAGGGCCCTGGAATTCCGTTTTCTGTGTTTTGTGTTTTTTTTTTTTTTTTTTTTTTAAAGATGTTACATGGTGTTTTGAAGCCAGCAAGTTACCACCCACCGGTGTCTCTTCTCCACATCTGTGACTTCTTTTTCCAGGTTTTATTTTCAGTTTTAAATTCCTAATAAATTATTTGAAAATGGTGCTGTGGCTGAGTATCTGCATCTTTGTGTGCACTCAGATCCAGGTAAGCCCGGGACACCTCATCTTCCTGCTGTGCAGGCAACAGGGCTCCACTGCATGCTGCTAGGGGCCCGGCTGGGTCCAAGAATTAAACTGATATCAGATAGATGAGCAAAAGAAACACAAACACATTTATTCCGTGTGGCGAGAGCCCTCATAAAGAAATGACCCAAAGGAGGATCGGTTACCTGATGACAGGACTCCCATGGAGTTCATGGGAAATGGAATTAAAAGATACGTTTATTTATTTACTTATTTGAAATACAGAGAGAAAGAAAAACTCCTATCTACTGGCTCACTTCCCAAATGCCCACAACGGCCACGTCTGGGCTGGGACGAGAGCCAGGAATTCAATCCAGGTCTCCCACTTGGTGGCAGGGACCCAAGTCCTTGAGCCATCACCACTGCCTCTCTGGGTCTGTAGCATCAGGAAGCTGCTATCAGGAGCCAGAGCCAGATATGCAGATTTGGGATGAAGGTGTCTTAGCCAGCATCTCCTTAGGCTAAATACCCACCTCAAGTACAGTTTGGTGCAAAAATGTTTGAAATCAAGGGACTGGTGCTGTGGCGTAGAAGGTTAAGCCTCCACTTGCAGTGTCAACATCCCATATGGATGCTGGTTCGAGTCCCAGCTGCCCTTCTTCCCATCCAGCTCCCTGCTAATGCACCTGGGAAAACAGCAGAAAATGGCCGAAGTGCTTGGGCCCCTGGCCACACATGGGAGACCCAGAAGAAGCTCCTGGCTCCTGGCTTTAGTCTGGCCCAGCCCTGGCCATTGTGGCCATTTGGGGAGTGAACCTGCAGATGGGAGAGCTCTCTCATCCTCTCTCTCTCTCTCTCTCTCATTCTGCCTTTCAAATAAATAAATATTTTTAAAAAAGTTTGAAATCCATGCATAAGTTTTTTATAATACTCATTTCCATCATCATTTTGAAGATCCCTCATATGCATAACTCAAGGATTTTTGTGCCAAGATAATATTTTTATTAATATTTATTTGAGAGAGAGAGAGAGAGAGAGACAGATCTTCCATCTGCTGGTTCACTATCCAAATGGCTCCAACCGTCAGGTCTGAGCCAGGCTAATGCAGGAGCCTGGAATTACATCTGGGTCTCCCACATAGATGACTGGGGCCCAAGCATTTGAGTCATCATCTGCTGCCTCCCAGGAGCAGTAGCAGGGAGCTGGATTAGAAGCAGAGGAAGGACTTGAATGGGCACTTTAGATACAACACATGGGGCCCTGGAGCAGCGACTTAACCCACTGCACTGCTTGCTTCACATAGGGAATTTTTTAAAAAAAATTATTAGTTGGCTGGCGCCGCGGCTCACTTGGCTAATCCTCCACCTGCAGCGCTGGCACCCCAGGTTCTAGTCCCAGTTGGCGTGCCGGTTCTGTCCCGGTTGCCCCTCTTCCAGGCCAGCTCTCTGCTGTGGCCTGGGAGTGCAGTGGAGGATGGCCCAAGTGCTTGGGCCCTGCACCCCATGGGAGACCAGGAGAAGCACCTGGCTCCTGCCTTCGGATCAGCACGGTGCGCTGGCCGCAGTGGCCATTCGGGGGTGAACCAACGGAAAAGGAAGACCTTTCTCTCTGTCCCTCTCACTGTCCACTTTGCCTGTCAAAAATAAATATTATTAGTTAATTTATTTTATTTATTTGAAAGGCAGAGAGACAAAGAGAGAGACAGCAACAGAGCTCTCCTATCTGCTGGTCCCTTCTTCAAATGCCTAGAAGAGCCAGAGTTAGGTCAGGCAAAAACCCAGAACTCAATCCAGGTCTCCCATGTGGGTGGCAGGGACCCAAGTACCTGAGCCATTACCACTGCTTTCTAGGGTGTATGTTAACAGGAAGCTGGAGTTGGAAGTGGAGCCAGAACTCATACCAGGCCTCTGATGCGGTATGTGGGCATCCCAAGGGATATCTTAACTGCTGCACAAAAGTCCCACCCATAGGAAATTTTTTAAAAATTAAAAAGCACATGGGTGGGTGTTGTGGTTCTGCAGGTTAAGCTACCACTTGAGATGCCTACATCCAATATCAAAGTGCCTGGGTTCAAATCCTGTTATTTCCTCTTAGTACACAGCCTGGGAGGCAGCAGGTGATGGTTCAAGTACTTGAACCCTGCTACTCATGCAAGATACTTGGATGGAGTTCCCAGTTCCTGGTTTCAACCTGGCCCAGCCTTAGCTATTGTGGGCATTTGGAAAATGAACCAGTGAATGGGGGAATCACTGTTTCTCTCTGTGTGTCTTTCTCTGCCCTTCAAGGAAATAAACAAAAAATTGTGTAGCTAAACAGATTTTTTTAAAGCACAATTTCACATTCTTATTCCCAACCCATGTCCTGTGTTCCAAGACTTTAAGTTTCCCAGGAGTCGCTGGGGTTTGGGGACCACCGACCACATACACATCACACCCCTTCTCTGAATAGGTGGGAGTACAGGGAGTGGGCACTGCTTAGAGTTGGGAGGCTGTTGTAATGATTTGGATGCTGAGAATGATGGCTTTGAGAAGTTTAACTACTTTGGTGTACTGCCTCAGTTTACTCTCCTGTGTAAAGTTCTTAGTATCTTTCCTAGCATAGTGCTCCAGGCATATTAACTGCTGCTGATATTGCTGCTACCACCGAAGGGAGTTCTGGATCAGGGATACCCATCTCCACCACTTTTTTTTTTTAATTTTTTTGGACAGGCAGAGTGGACAGTGAGAGAGACAGACAGAAAGGTCTTCCTTTTCCGTTGGTTCACCACCACCCCCAATGGCTGCTGCAGCCAGTGCACCATGCTGATCTGAAGCCAGGAGCCAGGTGCTTCTCCTGGTCTCCCGTGCGGGTGCAGGGCCCAAGGACCTGGGCCATCCTCCACTGCACTCCCGGGCCACAGCAGAGAGCTGGCCTGGAAGAGGGGCAACCGGGACAGAATCTGGTGCCCCGACCGGGACTAGAACCTGGTGTGCCCGCACCGCAGGCGGAGGATTAGCCCATTGAGCTGCGGCGCCAGCCTTTCTCCACCACTTTCAAGCTGTGGGAATCTGAGCAAGCTCTCTGAACTTGTTCCACCCCTGTTTTGCAAGGGATGGAAAATCACTGTGTCACAAGGTTGCTATTAGGCTGCAAGGCACTCAGTGTATGAGAAGCACTCAGCAAACAGTAGCTGGGAGCAGCTTTAAATATCTCCAGGGATCAGCAGCCTTGTCCTCCAGGGGCCGCGCCGATGATGACCTTGCAGGAGTGTGGGTACGCCGTCACCTGAATGCATCCAGAAGCTATCGTTACCTGTTTTTTCCACTGGCGAGTGTGTTTTTCCCAGGCTGGGACACGTGTGTGCTTCACACACCTGTGCGTGGAGCCCGGGTAGCCAAAGGTCAAGGTACAAAGAGTGCAGAGGTTTGGGGAGCTAGCCCATGACCCCCACAGGTCTATCTTCCTATGGCCTCTGTGCCACATTCTGCATTGTTGCAGTTAGCATGCCCTCCTTCCAGGAGGGAAAGGTTGTGGTAGCAGCCAGGCCCCTACCCACAACACTCCCACCCCCAGGTGCTCTGCCTGAGCCCCAGCACCTGAGAATTTGACCAGACTGCACTGGGGAAGACTTCCAGTGGCTGGGAGAGGGCCAGAGAAGGAGGGAGGTGGCAGGTGGGACTCAGTCCCTCCTGAACTCAGCCACCTTGGCTTTCTTCACTCCCTGTCCAGAGATGGTGCTGCGACATCCTGACCGCCAGATCCAGCACATAGCTTGGTCCTGCTGTGTGATGTTGGGGCAGTTGCTTAGCCTCTCTCAGCCTCCATTGTCACCTCTGTCCCAGACCGAGTGCCTGGGTTTCAGTCTCAGCTGTGCTCCCAGTTCCGGTTCCCTGCAGATGCACATCCTGGGGACAGCAGGGATGGATTCAAGTACGTGAGTTCCTATTACCCCCCGGGGAGACCCAGACTTAGCCCTGGATTCCTGGTTTCAGTCTTACCCAGCCTCGGCTGTTATGGGCATTTTGGGGGTAAAACAGGAGATCTCTCTCTGCCTCTCTCTCTTTTGGCCTTTCAAATAAGTAAAATTCATTAATTAGTTAATTTTAAAAGCTTCAAATTAAATATAATGTGCAATCCTGGATGTGATCCTGGAATAAAATAAGACACTCAGTAAAAACTCAGGAAATCTGAAAGAGCATGAGCTTATTAATACTAATATTGGCAATAATAATAATAATATGCTAATATTGCTTCATTGACTATAAATAATGTACCATACCAATGTAAATGTTAATAATAGGGGAAACTGGCCGGCGCCGCGGCTCACTAGGCTAATCCTCCGCCTAGCGGCGCTGGCACACCGGGTTCTAGTCCCGGTTGGGGCGTCGGATTCTGTCCCGGTTGCCCCTCTTCCAGGCCAGCTCTCTGCTGTGGCCAGGGAGTGCAGTGGAGGATGGCCCAGGTGCTTGGGCCCTGCACCCCATGGGAGACCAGGAAAAGCACCTGGCTCCTGGCTCCTGCCATCGGATCAGCACGGTGCGCCGGCCGCGGCGGCCATTGGAGGGTGAACCAACGGCAAAGGAAGACCTTTCTCTCTGTCTCTCTCTCTCACTGTCCACTCTGCCTGTCAAAAATAATAATAATAATAATAATAATAATAATAATAGGGGAAACTGGGGAGAGGGAGGTGGGAACTGTTGGCTCAATAAAAATAAGTAAATGCTGAATGGGTGCTGTGGTATAGAAGGTTGAGCCACCACCCGCAGTGCCGGCATACCATATGGGTGCCACTCGAGTTCCAGCTGCTCCACTTCCGATCCAGTTCCCTGCTAATGCACTTGGGAAAGCAGTGGAAGATGGCCCAAGTACATGGGCCCCTGCCACTCACGTGGGAGCCCCAGAAGAAACTCCTGGCTCCTGCCTTCGGCCTGGCCCAGCCCTGGCCCTTATAGCAATTTGGGGAGTGAACCAGCAGATGGAAGATATTTCTCTCTGTCTCT